GTATGTCTCATCCACATAGTTGGCGGCATTCGCAAAGACCATTCAGTTCACAGGCCAATCTCCTCCTGTTTGATTCTGACAGGGGTTGGTATTAACAGGAAATTTTTTTAAAAGAAAATATGGGAAGTTTTATTTGACAAGCGGTCTGTGGGTTAAGCTGTGAATCTCCTCGTGGTATTTCCTCTCGGACGCATTTTCAGTAACATTTTAGTGATTTTCTATTTTATTATTTTTGTCAAGGCAAATGAGTCTTTTTATACAAGTTGCAATGAATGGGGATTCGTTTTTTAATGTTTTGTTTATTGACAGATTCAAAAGAGTTGAATGAATGCGACAGAAAGCGAGCTTTTTTTTCTCCGATTTTTATAACTTGGAACTTGCAGTTGCCGTTTTATTGTTGCCAGAAATGTCCCAGAGGCTTATTAACATATGTCGTGACGTTCACTTTGCATGATTGAAAATAGCTATTTGCGTGCTTAAGTTAATTTATAAGTATTATATTCATTGGCGATGTTTCACTTACAGCTTATTCAAAATGGCCTTTTTCTGATTCCCTGTACTATGATCTATTTTGCATCCATCATCATTCTTCATTATGTTGCCTATTCTGCATAAATATAGTGAACTACGTACTGAGTTTATGCACATAGACACTACTGCACTTCTGATTCCATTTAATAGGGAATCATCATATCTGGGCAACATTTTTTCAATTTTCACCGATATTCCGGTGTCAAGCTGTTCACATCTCACATTCTATTCAATCCCAAGCAGGACACAAATACACACATGCCACGCGCTTGGTACTTAAGAAGCGAAATACGAAGACGTAAAAGCACCCAGAAGACTCGCAACATCTAAGAGTGGCAGGACGGAATTTAGCACCTTAATATGCATTATCAGCGAACGAGAGGCCACGAAGCAAGGCTGTTAATGGCGCTAACGAACTTCCCAACGGAATGAGCACGAACGAGTTCTGGAAGCAAATCACTCCACACCTTAACTACTCGGGCGCTAAAGAAACCCTTTGTAAGACATTTTTCTGTTAGCCGTGGGTGAAGTTTCAAGCCGCAAGACAGACTGCAGGAATGCGTCGAGCACGAAATCTAAGAATACTCTTGAATCTGAGTCATTGTAGCCATAAATTTGCTGCAACACAAGTATTTGAACAAAAGCAATTCTCCTTACCTCCAGACTTTACAAACCGAGAAGGAAGGGGCGTTTTTAGTAACCACCTGTCTTCATACTTCAAATTTTTATCAGTCTTCAAAGTTTGCCAAATGTCTGAGGTTTACTTTTCCCAGCACTTCAGTCTTCCACTGTCCTCAAAAAACTTACTCTTTTATTCTCCCAAATTTTATTCTAATTTTTCCAGCATTCTAGTACTGGAGTGCTTCGTGAAAATTTTCGACAGCTTACCTCTTAAGCTTACCAAATTCCGTACGTTTCTACTCTTTCAGAAACATCTCAAACTTTCATTTTCATCAAAACTGCTTTTTTGGACTCACTGAAGCCAAAAGCTCGAATTTGGCTTCTTAACGTATCGAACCACGATTATATTGGCTACAAATAGGGAATTTCAGGCTCAGTTCTATGCGATTCTGATGGAACTGGTAAATCTGTATTTCCTTCGCTACATTTTCTGCTGTTGCGTGATGTTTGACAATGTGTTTAACTGGGAAGGCAAAATTTTTACTCCATTTTCAGTTTAAAACATATTGACCTGAATTTTGAAATCAAATACAGAAGAACCCGTAACAGGATATAGATAAAAACTAATACAACAATCGTAAAAACAGCTAACACATCTATCAGAAAGTACTGTATAAAGTTTAACTCAACTCCTGCAGGTTGAAAAGCATCGATTGGGCCAAATCTGATCACAAACTCCGTATTTCGAATGAGCCGTTCACGTGCAGAGACCGGCTTATTCCTTATCATTGCGGCTAGTTTCTGTGCTGATTTTCGATGGCTATAA